ATGTCGCTGTCCTTGGTGCTGGTTGTTGAGTAGATGGGAAAAACCGCCATTTTTTCTCTCCTTGGTGCTCTTCTCTCCCTCACACCAACGCTAATCCCCCAGTTACAATTTATATGTAAACTCCTTTCCCCCCGTCCCCCGGTCCGAGCTCGTCGTTCGCCGTGGTGCTAATCCCTCACACCAAATGCTGATCCCCCAGTTACATGCTAATTTATATGTAAACTCCCCTCCTCCAGTCCCAGCTCGTTCGCACTCCGCAATGCTAATCTCCCAGTTACATGCTCCTTTGTCAAGGCTCTCTGTTCCTCCCACAGCTTAAAAGACGCTGTCAAGCTTGACAGGGTTCACTCAAGCGCTGTCTTCTGGACAGTCCTGTTTCTTCACCTGAGGACGGCTACTTGTGTTGTGGCCGAAACGTCGTGAGAATTTTATTGTTTTACTTTATTATTTCAATCTCATTCTACGTGACTTTACCGAAAGAACCAAAGAAGAAAAAAAAGTTACAATAGCTTTAGTGCTATTGAAGACGTATCCAATCAAAGGGTTCTCAAAAACCTGGTAATAAAATCGAACTATAATTAACAAGGCATTTTAGCCAACATATCACACACTTTCTCATTGTCTTTGTATGTGACATCACAACGGTCCTTGTGCCAGGCTAGCTGCACATTGAGGCCACGTGAAGTGGGGAATGTTTGCTGGCAGGTCATGGGACAGACCCAGGTACTGTATCATGCATTGACTGAAATGACTGACAGATGCACCACCTGTGCTCCCGACTGTGCCAACAAGCCACCTAAAATGTCGATTTAAAGCTTTCGTGATTGCAGGAATTCATCTTCTTGGTTCTTTCGGTCAAAGTCACGTAGAAGGGAAATAATAAAATAATAAAAATTAAACATATTTCCCTTCAACGTGACTTCACCAAAAGAACCAAGAAGATGAAGCCACCGAAAAGTTTAGTCCCAAATGCAAACACTCATTAATTAATTAAATGTAAGAACGAAAAAAAAGTGTATGTTTTTCTACTTTTCTTCTATCTATAGCGCACGTTTGCACTTCATTTTTCATGCAGTTGCAATTTATTTTGCTCAGTCGGTGTTAGTTTCTCAGGTCGTGACGAGTTTATTTATTCTTGATACTCCTGTACTGGTCCCATTATTTCGCCAAGTGCACTGATGCCTACTTTATTGAGGGCGATAATGAGTACAGGTAACACAAGCTTATGCTATCGTCCTAATATTCTCACCCACTGGCCCGTCGTCACGTTTAGGGATGTGTCCTGCCCATAATGGAATAATGCTATCAGTAACTTCCGAAATGCAGGATGACCATGAAATAGAGTGCAGCCTATGGTATGCATACCCCTCAATTTATGCAGCATTTGAATACAAGGACATCCGTATATTGCAATTTATCTTTTGGTTTACGCCACACAGACTAACTCTGCTTACATGATTTGTAGACTAGAAAAATAGCTTTTGCATTTTTTAAACAAGGATATTAAGTCTAAAAAAAATGGTAAATTCTTAACATATATCCATATGGCAGATTTGATTCAATTAGGTGTTCGAAATATGGTTTGCTATATGCAGATACATTTAGCAGCAAGTCATGTGCTGCACTTGCTATATGATCTGCTTTGTTTTTAGATTCATGGTAAACCCCCCCTCCCCTAAATCGACGGTACACCGAACTGGCGCAATTTTTTTGGCGAATCGCAGGTGTAACCTCCACAGTGTGAATTATAGCAGCGGTCCCCAACCTTTTCGGCACCAGGGGATAGGTTCGTGGAAGACAATTTTTTCACGGACCGGGGGTGGGGGGTCATCATTGGGTCTTTCCCCCTTTTCAAAGAAGCTCTCCAGCGACGTTTGTTCTTTACACATTTTGGCTACTAGGGGTTAGAGCTTGTGGGCTTTACCAAAACTGTGACTGAGACAAGTGGGCAGTCCGGGAAAGAGGCGCGGACAGAAGTGGTGAATAATAAAATAATGTGGGCAGGCCACGTGCGGACTCACCGCTCTCACCTCCTCCTGCTGCTGTGTGGCCCGGTTCCTAACAGGCCACGGACCGGTACTGGTCCGTGGCCCGGGGGTTGGGGACCCCTGAATTATAGGATCCGCAATATGGTCCCCTCATACCAAAGTGGTCTAATGAAGTTCTACTGTACATGTAAATGTAGTTTCAATAATTTAATTATGTGCAGAACCGTATATGTAGCAGTAGACACTGTGACAGGGCTGTTAGGGGGTACATGACAAGAAAAAGACTGGAGACCACTTATAATTATTACAATTTATGGTTAAAAGCTTAAGGCCCCGTCCAAGGCACATATATTACTATGTTCAGTCTTAATGTCTTGGCACACAGTATTACAAATTAAGCATTAAGATTCGTAGGGTTCTTGTAAGACTAAGGTAATTTGATATTAATTTTATACTATATTCATAATTATTCATTTTTTCCAGGAAAGCCAGTCTTAGAAGGGTCTTGCATGAGATTTTATTTATTTTAAGATGTGTTCAGTCAATCGATGAGTGTTTATACGTGTGGGAGGAAAACGGAGCACCCAGAGAAAACCAAAGCACAAGGAAGCAACAGATGGATTCAGCTGGAGATTAGTCAACTTTCTGTACTGCCTTCTCCTGGTTAGCCAGGGTATGGCACCATCTCTACGCTCATGGGGGGTTTCAAATGTGTGCAGTGATCCACCAAGCCTCACTGCCTCTAGTGCAACATTACAGGCGAGCACCACCACCATGTAGTTTACATATGTGAAGACCTTAATCCAGCAGTAGATTATGGATGATTAATCACACATCCCGCACCTCTGATTTGCACGGTTGGCAACGTTGCTTCGCGTAAGAAGCTCAACACACACACACAATTATTTCATGAGTTTATGATTCTATGTATTCGCTTTGGGCACGATGTATCACTCGACACCAATTTTATACAGAACTACGTAATATTGTTTGTAGTATAAGGGAGACAATTTAGTACAGACCTACAAAGTATAGTTTGTAGTATAAGAGAGACAATTTAGTACAGAACTACATCGTATAGTTTGTCGTATAAGAGAGACAATTTAGTACAGAACTACTAAGTATAGTTTGTAGTATAAGAGAGACAATTTAGTACAGAACTACTAAGTATAGTTTGTAGTATAAGAGAGACAATTTAGTACAGAACTACTAAGTATAGTTTGTAGTATAAGAGAGACAATTTAGTACAGAACTACTAAGTATAGTTTGTAGTATAAGAGAGACAATTTAGTACAGAACTACTAAGTATAGTTTGTAGTATAAGAGAGGCAATTTAGTACAGAACTACAAAGTATAGTTTGTAGTATAAGAGAGACAATTTAGTACAGAACTACTAAGTATAGTTTGTAGTATAAGAGAGACAATTTAGTACAGAACTACAAAGTATAGTTTGTAGTATAAGAGAGACAATTTAGTACAGAACTACAAAGTATAGTTTGTAGTATAAGAGACAATTTAGTAGAGAACTACTAAGTATAGTTTGTAGTATAAGAGAGATAATTTAGTACAGAACTACTAAGTATAGTTTGTAGTATAAGAGAGACAATTTAGTACAGAACTACATCGTATAGTTTGTCGTATAAGAGAGACAATTTAGTACAGAACTACTAAGTATAGTTTGTAGTATAAGAGAGACAATTTAGTACAGAACTACTAAGTATAGTTTGTAGTATAAGAGAGACAATTTAGTACAGAACTACTAAGTATAGTTTGTAGTATAAGAGAGACAATTTAGTACAGAACTACTAAGTATAGTTTGTAGTATAAGAGAGACAATTTAGTACAGAACTACTAAGTATAGTTTGTAGTATAAGAGAGACAATTTAGTACAGAACTACAAAGTATAGTTTGTAGTATAAGAGAGACAATTTAGTACAGAACTACAAAGTATAGTTTGTAGTATAAGAGAGACAATTTAGTACAGAACTACAAAGTATAGTTTGTAGTATAAGAGAGACAATTTAGTACAGAACTACAAAGTATAGTTTGTAGTATAAGAGAGACAATTTAGTACAGAACTACAAAGTATAGTTTGTAGTATAAGAGAGACAATTTAGTACAGAACTACTAAGTATAGTTTGCAGTATAAGAGAGACAATTTAGTACAGAACTACTAAGTATACTTTGTAGTATAAGGGAGACAATTTAGTACAGAACTACTAAGTATAGTTTGTAGTATAAGAGAGACAATTTAGTACAGAACTACTAAGTATAGTTTGTAGTATAAGAGAGACAATTTAGTACAGAACTACTAAGTATAGTTTGTAGTATAAGAGAGACAATTTAGTACAGAACTACAAAGTATAGTTTGTAGTATAAGAGAGACAATTTAGTACAGAACTACTAAGTATACTTTGTAGTATAAGGGAGACAATTTAGTACAGAACTACTAAGTATAGTTTGTAGTATAAGAGAGACAATTTAGTACAGAACTACTAAGTATAGTTTGTAGTATAAGAGAGACAATTTAGTACAGAACTACTAAGTATAGTTTGTAGTATAAGAGAGACAATTTAGTACAGAACTACAAAGTATAGTTTGTAGTATAAGAGAGACAATTTAGTACAGAACTACTAAGTATACTTTGTAGTATAAGGGAGACAATTTAGTACAGAACTACTAAGTATAGTTTGTAGTATAAGAGAGACAATTTAGTACAGAACTACTAAGTATAGTTTGTAGTATAAGAGAGACAATTTAGTACAGAACTACTAAGTATAGTTTGTAGTATAAGAGAGACAATTTAGTACAGAACTACAAAGTATAGTTTGTAGTATAAGTCTGAGTAAGCTTACACTCGGCTTATGGCGGCCATCTTGCATGGGGCAAAACAAACGGTTGAACGTGACGTCACCCGGCACGTTCGAAGCGATGCAAGATGGCGTCAGTAATAACGCACCCCGTTGGTCGACATCTCCGAGTCCTGGTACCACGTGACGCCGCGCCGACCAATCGGCAGCGGTGTTACTGGCCACCTGCGGCGCCCGGGCCTCGCGCCTTTGAAAGGAGAGGAAGAAGAAGCAGGAGGAGTGAGAGAAGAGGCTTCGTCGTGGAGCGAGCCGAGTGAGCATGGTGCGTGTTCGACGGGACATGGGGGTGGGGAGGTCGGCAGAGGGCCGCAAGGAGTTTTTGTTCCTGGGCGCCCCGCGCAAACGTTTCGCCTTTGTCGCGGCGCTCAAACTCCGCGTGGTTTTGAGTCGCGCGGTGCCGCGTTTCGGTCCCAGGCGGAAAGGCCGAGTTCGGGCCTAGGGTCTAGTCCCACAGGTGCAATTGCGTGGTGTGTGTGTGTTGGGGCTTGAGGCTGAATTAAGAATGGAACAATGCTTACGCGTGTTACCTTGCTGTAAGAGTCTGATTGGTGTACTCCCACGGATACATCATTGATTGCGGAGTTTTCGCGTGCATCTCGTGACCGGTGTAAGGCTGTTGGGAATTAAGGGCAAATGAATGGTTGTGTGAAGGTTGAGATTATTTATCAAGAGAAGCATCCTAGTCAGACGCGTCTTTGTCATCAGAGGTGTCACCAGAAGGCATCCTCATCAATCGCACACTTATAATTACATACACAATCAAAGGTCGCAGGCGTAATTATAATCAGACAGCATCATCACAAACCATTGTCCGAAGCATCGTTGCAATCAGAAATATGGACATAGAACTTCTTTCGCATCGTACGTAGCCAACCCTGCTAATCGGAGGTGAGAATACCTTCGTGAACGTCAATCAGAAGCATCAAAAGCATTGTCAGAAGAATAATTGAAACCGTCATTGGACGTATAATCAGAACCGTACCTAGAATGGTCACATATGCGTCTCAAACTGTAAACGCATAATCACCACGCCACAACGCGCTCACGCGAATCATAAGGGAAACATCAATCGTACGTGTGTATTATTATAGTAGTCGGCGTATACCACCAGTTATCCTGCCGGGTCTCAATACTCCATAATATAGGTTTTTGGGGGGGGGGGTTAGGTCGCGTAAATGTGTCGTTAAACCCGCCACCAGCCGACACAGCCAACTAGTAAGGGTTGTCACGTAAACAGAACATGGCCAATTCGTCACTAGTACAGCACACCGGTGTGTTGGAGACCAAATCCACAACATTTACGATCCGAGTACGACGTTTCTCTATACAGTTGACATCGTGCTATGGGGGTTTCCTCATGTTCTTTTGCAGGCTAACCAGGACGGTAACAACACGCCTGGGTCGGCTAGTGGACCTGGGCAACAGCACCCTGCATTCTCTAACCCTCCCCCCATGGTACCGCCACCCTTTGTGAGTACGGTGTATCTTTATGAAATTAGAGCTTTGTTTGCCTTTAACCCTCCAACCAACACTCTCAGCCATAGTTGAAAAGAGTTAAAATGCCACAAATGTATGCCATCAGCATTACTTAACTGCATTTCCGCATTCATTTGTGGGTTTATTGTGTTTCTCTGCTGCCAATGTTTACAATTTACTCTGCTAGCAGTGTAACCTTTGCCAGTAGACTCTGTAAATTGAGGTTATTTTACTTACCCTACATCAATGCACCTTGTGCCAATACAGTAGCAATAATGATAATGGAAAAATATCGTCATATTTACAAGCACTCGACTCGTAAATGCATTCAAATCAGCATAGGTAAAGTGTTTTATACCAAGGCTTACACCAATGTTTGTTTTCAGATGCCACCTCCAGGGATTCCTCCCTTCCCTCCGATGGGCATGCCACCGATGGGACAACGGCCCCCCAATATGCCTCCCATGCCGCCTGGCATGATGCCTCCTATGATGCCACCCATTGGAGGGCCCCCACCTATGGGCCAGGTAAAAACAAAGAGCATTACAGAGATGCAACCGACACATGTCCTCCAAATGCATTGTAGGACATGGAAAAATGTGAATAACTCCTTAATGGTTTTAAACAAATTTCAACATCCTCACCACCGTTTGGTTCTGATTTCCATTTTTGCCCATCAACAGATGCGTGCAATTTACTACTACCTAATTTGCGTTTGATTGGAGAATATTGATATCAACATGGAAAGCTGGATCGTGAGGGACACAATAGTTGGAGGTTGAGAACTGTTCCTTAAATGGTATGCAAATTAAAGATGTTATGTGTGTATATATTTTTTACTTCTTTCGCACTGTACATAGCCAACCGTGCTAATTTATGATGAAAATATCTATGTACTTGAAATGCTCGTGAAATAATGCTTTAGTGGTTTTCAACATGCCGATGTTTATTGAATAACACTTTGTGTATCCTCATGCTTGGCAGAAATGATCTGGTAATGTGTCTTTGAAAGCACAGTGTTGAAAGCCAAGTGTTCAGTGATTGTATACAAATCATGAATGTAGCCACATGTGATAGCAAATGTGGTGTTCTGTTGGTATTCGTCAGATGCCTGGTATGATGCCGCCTATGATGATGATGCAGGGAATGCCAAATATTCCTCCCATTGCAGCTGCGGTAAGCTTTACTTTTTTTCGTGCATAATGTTAAGTGGTTTGGTGTTCAACATAAATTAGTTTTTCTTCTTTAAAGTATATTCACTCCTGGAAGTGGAGAGTTTTTATTGTTTTTTTTATTTTCTAAACGGATTCTTAATACATTTGAACATTTAATACTTTGGATATGATATCCAAGTTACACATAGGATTATTGTTTATCATGTTAGTAATATTGTTGGAGGCTTTTCTGTGTAAACAATACAATGTTATTACCTGACGTTTTGTTATATCAAACATCTCTATTGGAATGTCTATAATTAAAGAAGTGCATAGGTATTCACCTGTAACTTTGTTTTATTCTCCTTAGGGGTCTGTAACACCCACTGATACAAGTACTGGTAAGTAACATAAATGCATATAGTTTATGGTTGGCTAACTTTATTGGAGAATTATTTAAATATACTCTAGATATAAAAAATGGACATGTAATGTTAATACCATTTAATCAAAAACATGTTGCATTTTTTATATTTTGCTTTCACATTTACATTCAACATTTGAAGCCTCTTGCCTGATAAAACGTTACATTTTTGTCTCTTTTTTTTTAAGGACCGGGTGCTCCAGCTGTCCAGGTCAGTGTTACATTACTTTTACAAATCGCACATGAAACAAAAAATATTCTTTAAGCCTGAAACATTTACTTTCCGTTTTACAGTATTTGAAAATTCTGCTTTTCCTCACCCAGGCTGTGAATCCTGCGGTAGCTGCAATACAGCAGTCTGCATCTGCAGGAAACTCTCCAGCACAGCAAGAGACTCAAAAAAAGGTGCTCCCGTTATTTTTACATCAAATTGCAATTTGAGAATAAAAAATAAACTGTGGGGTTTTATATTGAAATGTCATATTTTCTAAATCAACTCAAACACTTTCTTTCAACGGTCCTTTTGCCTGCAATTTTAAAAGCCAGTTATTCAACTCATTGTGATGTCTACTCTGAATCTGCTTGTGACTCGCAATCATGTGGAAAATACTTTGGGCAGTTTTTGTCAGGCATTATTCTCGAGTTTTGCCCTCTCGCCTATCTGCTGCGGTTCTTCTTGAGCAGGGAGCTGCAATCTCCAGCTCCAGAGCTGCATGTGTCTTGTATTTCATGCATTGCAGCTCTTGAAAACATTTTTTGTTTTTTCAAAATTCGAAAAAAATTGCTTTTGTCATTTTGGTTGCTGACTCCTGCCTAGATTTAGATGTTTCCATCTCCTGATGGAAAATGAACATTGGATTGAATTTATTCAGTTTGGGGATTGAGCATAACAGCATATTACGGCTTAAACTGTTAGATAAGGATGTTGAATTTAGTTTGTAGTAATAATTTCTCCTTGAATATTGGTGGCAGGATCAAAATAAGGAGAATATGTACTTTGTAAAGCAGTTATTTTAATTATTCCCCCAGCAATTTCTGTCATGGCAATGTGTTGTTTATAATTCAAAAAGCGTCGTACCTGCAAACACATAAAAATAGGGATTCGGTCTCTTCTGGCCTTGTGCAGAAATCATTATGGACAGAGCACAAGTCTCCAGATGGACGGACCTATTTCTACAACAGCGACACCAAACAGTCCACCTGGGAGAAGCCCCTAGAACTCAAATCCCCTGGAGAGGTAAGAGACTGCACCTTTGTACATTAATGCTGCATTTAAACAGACAGTTTTTTGTGCATTGCCACAACATACTGAAATAACTTTTTTTACTCTGGGCACAGATGCTGGTGGCCTCATGCCCTTGGAAGGAATATAAGTCTGACACAGGCAAGCCTTACTTTTACAATGCTCAGACGAAAGAATCTCGCTGGACCAAACCCAAGGAACTTGAAGACCTGGAAAGTAAGAACATGTTAAACAATTGTTTACATTTATAGTTGGTTTGCTGAATGTTATATGCGTTTACTTATTCAATAATGACTTAGATTATTACATAAATAGATATCTTCCTGTGTGTGCTTCCGATTGAAGTTGCTAATTTTTGCTATTGGATCAACTGACCAAATTAATTTTGGCCTCCCATTTTCATACTATCCATTTGATACTCATCTTTTTAGGGATTTTCACATTTAACTGAGCTAAATGAGTTTTATGTTTTGTTTGTTTCAGATATGATAAAGGCCCATGAAGATTCTGGGTAAGTGCACGGTGATTGCATTTTACTTAAAAAATGTGCCCAGTTTGTTCATATATCATCTTTACTTTGTTAAAAATGTTATAGGTGGCTTATTTTTATTTAGATTAAGATCATGTAGTAACATTCTTAAGCATTATGGTTCTTAACTTTTTGTACGTACTTTTGGTCAATAAAACATTTCAGAATAGGATGTGTAAAAATGTGTACTTTTTCCATTTGAATGTCTTAGTACAGTAACCTGTATCAGCCATGCTCTTCAATTTAATACGTGTGTAGAAAGGAGTTCAAGTTTTGAACCGCTGTTCATAGATTCAACACTTGTTTGATATTGTAGAGCAAATACTTAAAAAAAATACTTTTTTAAAGCCTTACATCCTTACAATGTATATACCATTTGCATTGAATATTATTGATCTTCCTCCGAGAAAATCAATATTTTATGTTATAGAGGCAAGGCTAGTTGTATATTTTCTAATGTTTTGCCAGCTTGCCAGTAGTCGTACCAGGGCAAATTTTGCATACAGCGTTGTGATAGCCACCATTTCAAAAGAGCTCACTCAAGAATGGCAATGTAATTTTGACAATCAAAGGATGCTGTAATTTGCATGAGATTTGCTTTTGAAGGCAATTGTCTATACATTAATTTGTGCCTGGACTGCATACATTCTTTCTGTCTTTAGCAGGATCACATGTAAAATCCCTTGCATTTTGCGTAGTTCTGGGTATGTGGTGGCAGGATATTGACCAAAACTGGGAGCCAATGGAGTGGTGTTTAAGTTATGATGCTTTTGCATTTTTTTATTGTGCATGTAGCAGTTTTGTGTACTAGCTCCCAAACAAGGCTGAAGCACTATACTCTGCCACTGAGTAAATCAGTGATTGGGCGGCAGTTTGCAGCACGTCAGCTGAGATGCCCCAGGTCATTGCTGCAAGATTCTGTTGCAGGGCGATACTTTATTTGGTCTTTTCACAGGTATGTTTTATGTTGGGCTTGAAGGTCAGACTCTCCAGCGATGGAAGTATGCCCCCAGTAGAACTAAATCAACTCTTATAGTATTGACGGTGTTCTATAGGTTTGTGTGCCCTGTGCAGCATGGGCTGTGATTTGCATATTTGCACTTGTGAGATGTAAATGACAGATCACTTTTTATATGTTAAATAATGACGAGTTGGTCCCAAGCCTTGAGGGAGGCCATTTTTTGCATTTCCCTTGCGGCTGCCTTGACTAGCAAGGTGTACCCTGAAATTATGGTTGCTGAGCATCGCCGCGATGAGGTGTACAGTAAAATAGCATCTGATGATTTTATCCATCTTCAGCAGCAGGCCATAATGCTAAATGGTGTCATAGGCAACGGAGAGGTGAATTGTTGCAGTTATGGTTTTCTCTTAATATTGAAAGCCAACTTCTGAGGGTGGAAAAGTAAACAATTTATTCACAGCAGCTACAGGCTGGTAAAAAAAAAATCTGACTTGTTTGGGAGGTCAGTCGGGGTCGATAATGGGGGAGGGCTTGGCAAGCATGGCACATTCCATCCGCTTGGAGTTGGAGGACAAGAGGGATGTGGTCCTGTAGCTGAAGGGTGAGTCTTGCTGCCTTCCATTCTTTCGGGATTTTGCCTATCCTGTGTATGACAGTCAAGAGGTTTGCAAGTCGTTGCAGCACTCGTATTGGATTGATAAAAGGCTGTGAATTATTTTTATTTAGACAAGTACGACCTGCATATTAGCATCAAATACATGACCAGGATGGAGAATGGGTGGGGGGAGGCATAACAGCGTGACGCATGAACCCGGCTTAACGCACTTGCCCACGCGCCACCCGCCAAAGCATAAGTAATATGGTATGAGTATAATAGGGTTTTTCCCCTTTTTTTCTGGCAACAAAACTGAAACCTTTTTACAAGGAATCATGTGTGCATTAACCACAATACTTGTGGTCAAAATGCAAACAAAAACACACTAATATATGCATTGTCCTGAGACGAGGCTCCTGAGACGAGGCTCAAAAGAAAGCCGTCTCTTGTGTGGACCAATCAGTTTCAAGGACAATGCATATATTGTCAAAGTGTTTTTTGTTTGCATTTTGACCACAAGTATTGTGGTTAATGCACACATGATTTCTTGTAAAAAGGATTCAGTTTTGTTGCCTATTAAATTTTGGTACTGGCAAAGGAGGTCTAATGATGATGGTACGAGTAGTTTTGGTACAGTTGTCGACGAATTGGCCGATGCTATTAAACCTGCCAAAAACTTCAGAGATGGCAGTTCATACCAAGATCCAGTGTCAGTAAACCCTTTGACGTTTTTCTCCGTGCGCCACAGGGGGCAGATGGAGCTGCCCGTTCCAGCGGCTGTCACGACTGTGCAGGCGGCCAGCGGCACACCCGGCTCCACGGGCACGAGCTCCCCTGTGGAGAATGGTGCGTCCCCCTCCGCGGCCGGAACCACATCCGCCCTGCCGCCCTCCGCAGATGGCACGCCACAGCAAGACGGTGTTTCTCTCGCTGCTGGCGGCGCAGTCACAGCCACTGCCTCTGCCAATGCAGTTGCCATGGGGAATGCCACCGCAACTGTTCCCCCTGTCATGGGAACAGTTATTGGAGCGCCGACTGGAATGGTCGCCGTGATACCCGGTGAAGTCGTTCCAGGTGCAGAAGCTATTGTGGAGCAAGTGATTGGCAGGTGAGCGCTGTAAAGCCTGCATTACTGTAGGTGTTTGTCTTGTTTTTTTATTCATGATGAAAAAAGTGAATGCATGCAGGTGAACTGAGGCCACCTAGTGCGATAGTTGTGAATAGGCAATAGAAATATGAAGCAACACAAATGCAAAGCTTCCATCAGGCACTTGTTCGATATGGTTTGTTCTTTACAAATTTGGACTTTTCTCTGCCTCCTGCTTTGTAAACTTTCAGTGTTGTGAAAGAGGATGGCAGGAAGAAAAAGGAGAAGAAAGTCTACACCTGGAACACCAAAGAAGAGGCAAGGCAGGCCTTTAAGGATCTTCTGAAAGACAAGGTAATGTGCCAAGACAATGAGCAGTGTTGTTACTCGGCAATGTTTTAACTCAGTTTTGTACATACGCTGAGATAATTATTTGTAATGAAACATCCGAAAGACCATGCATCAGAAGATTTTTCATTATCAACAATTGCTTTTATGGTCTGAAAATTATGTATTTCTTATATAGTTGATGCTTTATATAGCTGAAGCTGTAGTATTGACACTAGGTTACTTGGAAATCACTGCTATAATGTATCGCGTTTCCATTGCATTTGACTGATATACAACCTGTCTGTTTCATATTTGATGATTAAATCTCTGAATTTTTTGTATGTTCCTTGATCACTTTACATCATCTATCCTTGACTGCGCAGTACATGAGATGCCGTTATGTTTTTACTTCCTATAAACCTAAAGCTATTTTGTAAAACTAGTGAAGAGTCAATTACTATCTGCCTACAGTTAATTACTTTTGGGGTGCATTTTGTTCCATATTTGTTAAACATGGATGGTGATGGCGGCCAGGCTTATGTTTATTTTGGCTTTGCAAATTGATGATTTTCTATTAAAATCGGAGCATATTCCCACATGGCCAGAATAATAGTTTTGCAATTGTCATTTTTAATACCAAACCCGAAAAATGCCTGTTTTGTCCCCATTAGTCATTTGCATGCTGGATCTGCCCTCGAGCATGCTAAATTCGTTAACCATTTAGAAGTTGTGACATTTTGTAAATTGACATTTTTATTTCTTCTTGTGGAGTAAAAAACAAGAGTGGAATAAGTGAATTGTTCATGTTGATTCTGTCCCTTGGTTTGCAGAAAGTTCCTGCAAGTGCATCGTGGGAGCAAGCCATGAAAATGATCATCAATGATCCCAGATATAGGTATGGCCTCACATTGAAAGAAAATATATGCCTCTCTTGTGTTTATTTCTTGAAGTCTGCAGTTGCCCTAACTATGGAAATAAAATAACTGCAACTTGTGTAGCAGTGTTTACCATGTAATCACAGTAATTGTAATATGAATATTAATCTACAGTGGAACTCCTTATCTGAGATGTGCCCTTCATTATTATCTGAGACTTAAGTATTTGTTTCGCCAGAATATTTTTTCGTCAACTTTCATTTATATTATGATTATACAGTGAGGGAAAAAAGTATTTGATCTCCTGCTGATTTTGTACGTTTGCCCACTGACAAAGAAATGATCAGTCTATCATTTTAATGGTAGGTTTATTTGAACAGTGAGATACAGTATAACAACAAAAAAATCCAGAAAAACGCATGTCAAAAATGTTATAAATTGATTTGCATTTTAATGAGGGAAATAAGTATTTGACCTCTCTGCAAAACATGACTTAGTACTTGGTGGCAAAACCCTTGTTGGCAATCACAGAGGTCAGACGTTTCTTGTAGTTGGCCACCAGGTTTGCACACATCTCAGGAGGGATTTTGTCCCACTCCTCTTTGCAGATCTTCTCCAAGTCATTAAGGTTTCGAGGCTGACGTTTGGCAACTCGAACCTTCAGCTCCCTCCACAGATTTTCTATGGGATTAAGGTCTGGAGACTGGCTAGGCCACTCCAGGACCTTAATGTGCTTCTTCTTGAGCCACTCCTTTGTTGCCTTGGCTGTGTGTTTTGGGTCATTGTCATGCTGGAATACCCATCCATGACCCATTTTCAATGCCCTGGCTGAGAGAAGGAAGTTCTCACCCAAGATTTGACGGTACATGGCCCCGTCCATCGTCCCTTTGATGCGATGAAGTTGTCCTGTCCCCTTAGCGGAAAAACACCCCCAAAGCATAATGTTTCCACCTCCATGTTTGACGGTGGGGATGGTGTTCTTGGGGTCATAGGCAGCATTCCTCCTCCTCCAAACATGGCGAGTTAAGTTGATGCCAAAGAGCTCCATTTTGGTCTCATCTGACCACAACACTTTCACCCAGTTGTCCTCTGAATCATTCAGATGTTCATTGGCAAACTTCAGACGGGCATGTATATGTGCTTTACTCTTTGGTTTTATTCGGTAAAGTCACGTAGGAAGAAAAAAAACACGACGTTTCGGCCACAACATAAGCGGCCTTCATCAGGTGAAGGGACCAGACTGTCTCTAAGACTGCACTGGAGCGAAACAGAGCCAAGCTCAGACCACAGCCTTTAAGCTGTGAGTATGGATCCTTGCAGTCACGAAAGCTTAAAATCTATATGTGCTTTCTTGAGCAGGCTTATCTTGCGGGCGCTGCAGGATTTAAGACCTTCACGGCGTAGTGTGTTACCAATTGTTTTCTTGGTGACTATGGTCCCAGCTGCCTTGATCATTGACAAGATCCTCCCGTGTAGTCCTGGGCTGATTGCTCACCGTTATCATGATCATTGCAACTCCACGAGGTGAGATCTTGCATGGAGCCCCAGGCCGAGGGAGATTGACAGTTCTTTTGTGTTTCTTCCATTTGCGAATAATCGTACCAACTGTTGTCACCTCACCAGGCTGCTTGGCAATGGTTTTGTAGCCCATTCCAGCCTTGTGTAGGTCTACAATCTTGTCCCTGACATCCTTGGAGAGCTCTTTGGTCTTGGCCATGGTGGAGAGTTTGGAATCTGATTGATTGATTGCTTCTGTGGACAGGTGCCTTTTATACAGGTAACAAGCTGAAATTAGGAGCACTCCCTTTAAGCGTGTGCTCCTAATCTTAGCTCGCTACCTGTTTAAAAAAACACCTGAGAGCCAGAAATCTTTATGATTGAGAGGGGGTCAAATGCTTATTTCCTTCATTAAAATGCAAATCAATTTGTAACATTTTTGGCATGCGTTTTTCTGGATTTTTGTGTTATTCTGTCTCTCACTGTTCAAATACACCTACCATTAAAATTATAGATTGATCATTTTTTTGTCAGTGGGCAAACGTACAAAATCAGCAGGGGATCAAATACTTTTTTCCCTCACTGTATTGTTGATAGATTGCTCCTATTATCCGCAGCTACTTTGTTGATAGTAAGTGAAAGTAAGTAATTGGCAAATGATTGAAATTGTATCCTATTCACCTTCAACTGCGGCTCGCATTACCACCACTCGCAGTTCCTGTTTGTGGCTATTTCATGAATAAGAGGAATAATGTGTAAAAATAATCCTATACACATTTGTCCACAGTGTGTTGCCATAGATTGATAATGATGAATAATAATAATAATAGTAATGGTGATTGGACTTTTTATGTGCATGGTTGCTGGCCAGTATTCTCCTGCAGTTTTTAAGTGCAATCTGCCGTGCGTGACTTTGGTCTCTAGCTGTGCATTATTGTAGTATTTGGTCTGCACATGATGATGAAGTAAATGTGCCGAAGGTAACAACTGCGTACATGGAGTGATGAGATTAGTTAATGTGTAGGAGTGAGTATGACTGTAACGCCACAGGACTGAGAGATAGTGACGAAGTTGGGAGGCCTTCATCCAGAAGTGTGTTTACACATTAGTTCGTGATGATGATTAAGGTCACAGTGACACTAGAGCAGCATCAGCCACATTTTTTCATGGCTAGGAGGCACCTGGTAGCGGTCTTGGAAGTTACTTTACTGCTATGTTTACCCATAGCCATTGTGAAAGTCAGAGGAATTGAGTGGAAGTAGCAGTAAAAATTCCTCTTCTAATCCACATTGTGGCTTTGTGTGGACCAGAGGAGTTTTTCGTTAATGCAAATAATTGGTTCCATGAACACGCATATTGCGTTGGATAACAGGAGTTTCACTGAACTCACATTTTCTTTCAGTTACGTTACGAAAACCATTAATGTTTGTTCATATACTTCCAGTGCCAGCTTGCTGAGGAGTTATAAGTAGTGGTAATACAAATAAAAAAAAAACTTTGACGCTAATTGCGACATTGTAATGTATGAATCATTTGCCTACAACTCGGTCCTGAACAATAACAATAGTGCTTACAATCATGTCTGAAACAAAATGACACAGGTGTTGTGATTATTGTCATTAAGGTTGTTTTAAATATAAAGAAGTGTGCTTTATGAACAATAACATGAATTAACATGTAGGTCCATTAGCCTATATGCCTTCTGGACCAATGTTTTCAATAAAATGTATATGTAAGCTTGCAAACTTCAGGACCGATTTCAACGTTGAGTTTTGTTAAATAGGTTCAACTCATGTTTAGGAGCAAGATCGATTGTTGTATAACTAGATCATGAGGGATATCAATGGATAAGAGAGGCCATCCTGCAGTGGATCAATGATGGCTCTGGGTGGGCATGCCTCTGTCTGCTTATGCATGTTTACCCCCCAGCGCCCTGCCTAAGCTGAGTGAGAAGAAGCAGGCATACAACGCATACAAGACCCAGCGAGACAAGGAGGAGAAAGAGGAAGCACGGCTCAGGGCCAAGGAGGCCAAGGATCGGTTGCAGCGTTTCCTTGAGACACATGAGAAGCTCAACTCGTATGTGAAATACAGGTGAGCGACAAGGGTCCCAATGCAACACTTTTTACCGTTTTATATTACAGCTCAGCTTGAGTCTCATTGTCTTAATGCTCAAATGAGTATTAAGTGATGCTCATTTCCACGTTTGGCCTTGAAGTTCGAAGTTCCACATTCTCATGACGGTGGCTGGTCTCTTTATATAATCACCACTTTTAATTCTAACAATTGGTTAACCAAGTAAGGTAAGCCATTTGCTGATATGCAAGTGTCCCATTACCTTTTTTGTAATTAATGAAATGAGGCGATTAGGTGGGTAGAGTGGGGAATGAAAAGGGAGGGTGCTGGATATGGGCTGGAGCAAAAGCAGGTGTTCAACTCTCAAGATAAAATGGGAGTGAAAAAAGGGTTCAATTATTATGGAGGCTTTCACAACCATTGAGTCAAAATGTGTTTTTTTGTGAGATCGTGTGGGTTTGTCAATTATAAATATGCATCCCCCATCACAAATTTGGCCTGCTGAATTCTAATTGCTGAATGAGTTTTTGTCATAATGCCAGATAAGTGTATTCTTTACATATCTGAGCTCATTGGTTGTTTTAATCACACTTTATACTAATACATGTGCTTGAATTAAAAAATCAATTGAATAAATAAAATTGCAAAATTCTTAACTTCTTCCAGGTTGATAGCTATAGACTAAGTGCTGCATTTAAGCATTCTGAAGCGCCTGATGCTTATACTGTATTAAGTAATTGATCTAAATTAACGCTTGAACAGAATCATAATGCCATTAAATAATTACGTCCGTTTAAGTTAAATAAATAAATCCAGTCCGTCTCTCACAATCGCTGGCAAATTTCAAGTTTGTTGCATGTTGGGAAGTACGCTAAACCTTTTGAACAGACACACAATCACAACTTTGCCTTTTATATATATGGAGATATGGGTGTATGGCCCAGCTGTAATTACTTGCCATTCAGTTCTGAAGCACAAACTTGCCGTCAGCAGTTTGGGTTCGAGCGTCTGAAACTGACGTCCCATTTTTTTTAGACAATTGAGACGCATGGGTAAGATATATTATGGCTCCTAATTTAATGATGGGCATGCGATAGCAGTAACCCATTCTATTATCGCTGTAATTAAGACTTTAAAAAAATGTCCATAACATCGTTAATGCCACTCTTGAATCAAATTGTTATAAAGATAGGTTATTGTTTGCATTTTTGATCAGATGCATTTTGGTAATTATTCAGCTGAATGCACTATCTATCACCCACTTAGCATGCATTACGTTGCTTGAGAAATGAGCATGCTAACTTTCAAATAACGTTTTTGTCAATTCATTGTCCAAATGCTGTACTGAGCGAGTGGTGATCATCCATGGGTTTTTTTTCCGAGCATCGTTATGGCATTGATCTGTCTCCCTTGGACAGTGTTACATTCTGTTCGAGTTTGCATTTTATTAATACATATATCTCTATTTGTATTAGAATAATCATGAGTATTAGCCATTCTCAATCTTCTGCTTGATCGGTAGCACGGTTGGCTACTTACGGTGGGAAATAAATTGAATATACATACATTGAATGTGATAATTTCAAATATTCACCCATACAATTATAATGCAACTTAATCGTAAACAAAAACTTGTTAGAAATATGAGCATAACTATTTATTTGCATAGCTAACCTGCACAGCATTGTGAAAAATATGAAAAGTCATTGCGTTTCTTTTCATGAAAAACTTGATGTTTCCTTCCTTTTTAAGATATTTTCATATTTTACAGCAATAAAGGTGTCACATTTGGCTTAAGTAAATAAATTGTTTTACGATTGCTGCTACAGTCACCTCGACTGACATTTAAAAAAATCGGCATTTGGAAATTTCCCACTTTATACAATAAATTATTCACGTCAGTGATTGTTGTTGTGACTTTGAAAAAAAGTGCTTTAAAAAAGTACACAAACAAATGTAACCTGCTACTTTTCATAGACCGAAATCTATTTCAAGTGCCTCCCCTGTGGAGTGGCCATTTGCAGCACAAATGAATCAGACATAAATGCCTGAAACTATTATTCAAAACATTTGTTGATTAGCACTTGTAAAAAAAGATGTGTAGGTACTTAAGGACCCTTTGTTTCAATTTAAATCGCACTTCCGATGAGCACGGTTGTCTACGTATGGTACAAAAGAAGTGCTAAATACATTGTCATAAACACAAGCACCCACATGTCATACATTCACAATGCGCATATCATATTTGATTGGCAGACATGGACTACTGCTATTGTAAAAATCTAACTTGCTGTTAAGATGGAACAAGCTATAACGACTGGTTGTGTAAATGTCCCAATTAACGCTAATCCATGGCTGCAACACAACCCTCGACCCTACAGGAAGGCAGAGCAGATGTTCGGGAGCATGGAGGTGTGGAACAATGTGCAGGAGCGGGATCGCAACGAGATTTATGAGGATGTCATCTTCTTCCTGGCCAAGAAGGAGAAGGTGAGTCACAAAACAATTAGACCAATTTTCAAAAATTATTTAACAAATTGCTCAACAAATTTGTGTTGCTGCTTCTCAATAAGCACAGAACCAAGTACTGCTAGTGTGCATTTGTATCTTGGTCCAGGTGGTTCTTGAGTCTCCATCACCACCTGAACAGGCACCTGTAGCTTTAAAGAGGCTGCTGGTGTTGCCAGAAAAAAATTAGAACAGAAATAAAAAACATAAAACCTGTTTAATTGATATTTGTAAGGGAACCCCATGATTTTTTTTATAAAATTGAGATTTAATGACACTGGGTCACTAGCAGAATGAATTTCAATAATGGCAGTCACTTTACCGAGTTGTCATAGACAAGTGAGAATCTCTTACATTGACCAAAGTTGGCTCATTCTCTCAGATCACATCATTCCCGAGCTCTGGCTCTCCAATGATGTTCCCATGTTCTTGTTAACATGCACATTTTGTATTGCTCAAATATATGTTGTTAATCCACTCTATGGTCCACCCACCGCGTCCACTGCTGTGTGACCAGGAGGAGGCCAAGCGTCTACGTAAGAGGAACATCCAGGCACTCAAGAGCATCCTTGACAGCATGACAAGCGTCACATTCCGCACCACCTGGTCCGAGGCGCAGCAGCACCTTATGGACAACCCCACGTTCGCGGAGGACGAGGAGTTGCAAAGTGAGGCCCTTGTTTAATCTCCTCTTGCTGCCGTATACCCTTTTTCTCTCAATTATAACTCCACCAAGCCTAATGCAACTTGTATAGTAGCGTTTCCTAGATGCTGCCTTTCTCTCTCTGTATTGGTATTCTGTGTGTGGGTGGCAGTGTTGGTAATGCACCAGACAAACAATGAGAAGAAAGGGTGCAGGTTAAAATCGTGGTCCAGGTTAAAATTGTGGTCCAGGTTAAAATTGTGGTCCAAGTTTTTTCTGAGCCCATGATTTTGCTGGGATCAATATAAAGTTGTCAGTTGCTACCTTGGAGAGAATCACCCACACTGCAGGAATGCGACATTTTTATAACTGCCTGTGATGTCCCAGGGGAGATTAGTTCCATCCTATTGAGTAGGAACACATTTTAATTCTGTTATTTAACTGTACTCTCGGAAGTGTTGTCATTTGTGTTGTCCAATTGAAGCAAGTTAAAACAAGTTGTTCCAAGCATGCTTTTCTATCTAACCCAAGCGGGTATTTTTGACACTAATTTTATTTTTGGCACGCTCTTATTTCCAGTAAACACTCACCTCAGCATCGTGTTGTGCATTGTATGATTGTCAATTTGTGCGCATGAACACCATACCGGTTCTGGAGCACAGATATGGACAAGGAAGATGCACTGATATGCTTTGAGGAGCACATCCGTGCACTGGAGAAAGAGGAAGAGGAGGATAAAGAAAAGGGCCGACTGAGAGAGCGCCGCATGCAACGCAAAAACCGTGAACTGTTCCAGGTGTGGCATCTGACACTATATTCATGTATACTCTTTGGTTCTTTCGGTAAAGTCACGTAGGTAGAAAAATAAATAATGAATCACGGCGTTTCGATCGCAACACAAGCAATCGTCATCAGGTGGAAAGATACAGCAGTTTAACTGCTAAACAAGAAAGGGCTGCTGCAACAAGAGATTATTTATAGGTTTGAGGTGGGTGTCACCCAAGGGTAAGTAGGTGGGGCCGGAGATGGAAAGGAGTCCCGTCGCCGCACGCACAGCAGCTGCGTTAAAGGGAGAGATGGGCATGTCAATGTAAACGAGTTTAATGGCAAGATAGCGTCTGTGTCAGAGGACCGGGCATAGCGCCACCTTGTGGGCAACACAAGCTGCGGCGTTGGCTACTGCACAGGGAGAGGGCAGCGTATCAACGCAAGAGAACCACGGTAACGGTGGCCGTGCCAGTGAGACATACAGCCTATTCAACAGCGAGAGCTACTGTTACATCGAGGCAAAAGGGAGCAGCGGTGGCCATGTTAGTGATAAAATAAAATAACACAATCAGCGGCCTTCATCAGGTGAAGGCCGCTTGTGTTGTGGCCGAAACGTCGTGAGAATATTATTGTGTTATTTTATTTTATCAGTTTATTATTTTATTCTCATTCTACGTGACTTTACTGAAAGAACCAAAGAAGATGAATCCTTGCAGTCACGAAAGCTTAAAATCGAGATTTATTATTTATTTTTATACCTACGTGACTTTACCGAAATAACCAACGAGTATGGATTCCTGCAGTCACGAAAGCTTCAAATCAAGATTATATTCATGTAGTAATGCTGCTACTATCTCTGGGCTGCATTCTTTACGGTATGATACTCTGCGTGACTGCTTTCTCCTGTACAGCTGTTTTTGGATGAGTTGCACAACAATGGGAAGCTGCACTCCATGTCTACATGGATGGATCTGTACCCGGCCGTCAGTGCAGACATTCGCTTTTCCAGGATGCTGGGGCAGCCTGGTAAGACATGATTAATTGCCGTACCCCCTGTTCACTCATCTCTCCACTTTTTATTCTGTTAGATCTCCTTCACTTGTTCTGCATCTCATCTGTCTTCAGTCAAACTTTTTACATTTATTTCCTCACCTGCTTGGCTGTCGCTTACTTAAGATGTCCCACTGCCTACTTTTTTTCCAATGTGAATTTTCATTCGCTTAGCTGTTATGTCAGCTCCCCATTCTCTAGAATCTCGCTTGCTTGTAAAGTTTCACCTTGATTTTTCTGGTTCAATAATTGAGTCTACCCTGTTCATAAAATAACTTCATTGGAGGACTATGAAAATTTGATAGCACTTGCATCACAAAGCTACCCCAGCAGCTGTGTTCGAGAGTCGTGCCCAGCTGCTATGCCATACACTTTGTAATGGCCAGAGGTGAAGCAGTGAGCCAGAGTGAATTGAGAATATACAAATGCATCTCATCTGATTTTCAAGTCGGCAGCTTATTCATTGCATCTTGCAGGTTCTACACCACTGGATTTGTTCAAATTCTACGTGGAGGACCTCAAAGCTCGCTACCATGAGGAGAAGAAAATAATCAAGGATGTGCTCAAGGTACTGAGTGACAGCAGGCTTGCATCTCCTATACTAGTATAAAAGTTGTGACTGTCTACCTGCTTTTTTCACTATTACTACTGTGGGAAATAAACGTTGGTTGGCTTATGGAGAGATTGATCCCCCACGAATGGAGGTAATTGCCACCAAAAGCTGGTTATGTTGCCAAAAATACAAGCTGTGCTGCCTATTTGTAATAGGATTTTTTAAGTAATACCTTGTTTTCATAGTTAAAAGATACATTTACATGTATTGTATTGATAATTCAGGCTAGCATCAGTTCTCTCTTTAATACGGAAGCATTGCAGACAATATTAATGTATGTAAATAATTTTTATTTTCCACCATGTGGCAGAGGTTGATGTAATAGGTAGTGGTGCCATAATGTATCATCCCGGTCTCAATTATACTCGTAAGCTTCTAAATTATGAATTATCAACAGCTTGGCAAGTATCTATATTATATTATAGATACTTGATTATTATAGATTATATAAGGTACCCAACTGTAAAGCAGAACAGCAATATCAAATGTGACACTGTCGTGTTGGTCATCCGAGCTGTTTGTCCTCTTCTACCCACCCATATTCCTGTTCAAAGGACAAGAACTTCATGGTTGAGGTGAAAACGACGTTTGAGGAGTTTGCATCCCTCATCAGCTCTGACAAGCGTGCTGTAACACTGGACGCAGGAAACGTGAAGCTCGCGTTCAACAGTGTATGTTTCGCAAAACATTTTTTTTTCCTGATTCGAATGGGCTGGGTTTATACACCAAACTGTTCAGGGAGCCAACAAGCCAAGGCAAACGCTACCTGCCATGACCAGAATACTTAGTATATATACTGTTTGTTTTATAGATGAAGTTAATATTTCCTGTAATGTTCCTGCACTGTTTCATCATATTCGTGTGTCCCCCCACACCAAAAACAAACGTTTCACTATAATACATACTACAGTACCCTTCAACCACATTTTTCACTTATATATGTGATCTAGACTTGAAAAAAGGTCTCAAGAAGCCCATTGCATACTCTCAACATGGGTGGTGTATGATGTTTTGTCCAATGGCTCAAGGACCAAGTGGTTGGTCGCTAAGTTATTTTTAAATCGGGTACTTATGTCACCTGATGACCAGATCTTGTTGGGTTTATTCTTAATCATTGAGTATGCGTTCATAATAGCATATTTGCAATATGATATAATTCTAGTGCTGCTTATCTTTTTTTATATTGGTTTTGGAAGGATAATTTAATGCCATTTGAATTGTGCCCTAATCTCTTAACCTATGATTTGCATGGCACATTTTACGTGTGCAATTTTCAAGTATCTATTCTATCGTTATTTGCTGGAGCTAACTTTATTGGCAGGTGGCTCTGAGGAAAAAATAGGTCACTCAGTAGATTATACAAGAGTATGCTAACATCCGCCTGCCAGCATCCCAGTCCACTTGGCTGATTTACCCAAAAAGTGATTTTAAATTACTCTCCATGAGGATTTTTACATTCACCATTTTTCCGTCACTCAGGTAGTAGTGTGCCGAGTCCTTATGAAACATTAAACACATCTGGTGCTCCACTTTGGTAAATTGCATGATGTAAGTTAAGGCACCATGAGGAGCCTCTGTCCTTGCGAGATGTATTACCATGGCACCATGGGTCACAAACTTCCTGACAGGCAGGAAACTATGGAATGGGCCCGCGCTTGGTTAATCTGTATCTAGAAAACAAAAATCTAAATTTAAAGCAAAAAACCCACGACGTTTCGATCGCAACACAAGCGGTCTTCATCAGGTAGAGCGAAAAGAGGCAGGCAAACCTCCAAATGAATATTCCTTACCCCCCCATTGTCTGCTCGTGCAGCCCTTTCCCCCACCCACTCACTCTGGAGCCCTTATAAGCAGCTACATTTGGAAGCTTGCCTGTCTCTTTTCTCTCCACCTGATGAAGACCGCTTGTGTTGTGATCAAAACGTCGTGGGTTTTTTTGCCTTTAATTTAGATTTTGGTTTTCTATCTATGTGACTTTACCGAAAGAACCAACAATATGAATTCCTGCAATCACGAAAGTTTTAAGTCTAAATTTAATATGTATCTCTAAATTTACATATTTTCATTGCTCAGTATTGTTGCATTATAAAATATGAAGGCATCTGCAGCTCAATGAGATAATGGGAAACCGTTGTTGATAAGCCCCAACAGGTTACTTATTGACTAAACACCCATTTACAGGCTTGCGTGGCAAAAGGTGCAAACCCAGAAACATTTTGTGTAATGGCGTCTGAATGAATGCAGCTGATTGAGAAAGCGGAGGCGCGTGAGAAAGAACGCGAGAAGGAGGAGGCCCGCAAACAGAAAAGAAAGGAGGCTGCATTCCGCAACATGCTGAAGCAGGCGACCCCTCCTCTGGAACACGACTCCAAGTGGGATGATGTGAGCAAGATTGTCGCCATTTCCACAGTTAATTGTCTAATCCTTGCCCCAAGACGATTTGTTGGCTGCATGTCAATTTAATGTGTCAAAAGTGTAACCATGCTCAACTGATCTTGATGCAGTGCTTAAATCTGTTGGTGGTGATAGCCAATTTTTGAAATTCCACATTACTCTGGTTGGAGGTACTTTATCAATGGGATGATCACTTCACTTTCCACAATGTGCTGAAAGTTGAATGCGGCCGCTAGTAAATTAGAAATGCTGTCCTTTATAGCTTTCTCATACTCACATCTTTTTGCCCACTATTGTCT